ATATACAGTACTAGAATAAAATTTAGTCATGTTATTAAGTTTTTACTTTCCCGACTGTTATGTATACATAGCAAGGGAAATTATTGGAATCGTGTTAAATTTGACCCGAATATTTTGCAAATCTTCATGCTTTCAGACCTTCTGAACCCAAAAAAGCTATTAAAACCGCGAAAAATTTCATGGATATTCATGTATGTGTGAATGTTGGCGTCTATTTCCTTTAATATCTCAGGATGGGATAAAGAATAAGAACCGAAATTTGTCACGGCAACTTGTGTATAAGGTGTTTTAGTGTTATTATATTTTAGAAGTGAAAGGTCAAGAGAGTGGGGATATAGAGGGGTCGTGTTTTATCTCAAGGGGGATAGGACTTAATGAAGATTTTATTCGTTATTATTATTTATACTTTGATATAAAATTCATCCCTATCGTCAAAATTAAGCTTTTTGCCATTGTATAGTAATGAAAAATATAAAACTTTTTATAACAAAATCTCATAACAGATGGCGCCATGCACAATTTTATTTATTTTTCTTAATAACATAAAAGTTATTTTTAAACTAAAAACTCATAACTATTTATAGTTATTCAGTTAAAATTCAAATTTGATATTTGAAATTAGTTTTATTTCAAAATGATTAGATTTTAAAATAATATGAAAGATAAAAAATTTAATTTTTAAAGTGAATTACAATTGATCATATTTTATTCATATATATTTTATAGTTTTATATTAATTTTATATAACTAAATTCACTTTATATGTGCGTTTCATTTAATAAATAATATATTCAAGTGAATCTTTTACATAAGAAAATATTTTATAACAATAAATTTAAGATTGTAATAGCTGTAAAACTTTAATAACTTATTTGCAACTTAAAAATATTGATTTTCTTTTAGAAATGTGTAAGTGAATAAGACAAATAATTCAGCCAGCACCTATATAATTCAATTATTGAAAAAAAAAGTTGAAGAGAATTTCTCGTCAATAATTTCCAATAATCGCCATAATTCTCTCTTTTGTGCTCTAATTTTGAGGAATAATTGAAAGTGTTAGAGCTTTAATTTTAAGGAACAATTGAAAGATTTTGAGATATAAGTTGAGGAATATTTAATTTTGAAGAATAATTGAGAACTTTTAAGCCATAATTTTAAGTTCTAGACATATATTACTTTCCGATTTATATTTAATACCTAATAAAAAGTAATCTACAGCTAAAGTATTATATATTCATTAAAATTAATTATAATTAATTAGCATCCTAGATGAAACAGATCGATCAGAAACAATAATAAAACTTTATTACAGAAGAAAATGTTTCCTTAAAATTTAGTTTTACAAAATGACGAACGATGGTGCAACCAAGTTGTAGACTAAATTCCTGTGGATTTTCGCTAAATCCCTCTCACTATGTTTAAGTGATCTGTGAAGTACGATTCAGAGATAAGAAACGTCAACTATATAAAATTTATGAGGTCTTATTTTCTGTCATCCAAAAGTATCTATATTTTCTAAGGGCAATTTCTAGAATCTATACGTCTTTGTGATAAAATTTAACTTTTGTTAAATATAGTCTTTTAGTAAAGCATTTTTTAAATATAAAATATAAAAAATTTGTAAGTAATTTTGACATTAGAAATTAAACTTTATATAATAAAGTTTAAACAATGACAGAAACGGATGATGAATATCGCACATTTACATCATAATTCAAGAAAGTTATAAATTTAACAATGTGATTATATGGATGATATATTATGGTTGTCTTTTCGAACAATTTAAAATATAAATTGACAAAAGTTGACAAGCCGCAGCGTTAGCTTTTATTAGAAAACTGTCGCCCAGAAACTTATTATAATAATACTTGCTTATCGAAAGATCTGTGATGGAATTTTACAATATCAAATCAATGTCAACAGTGACAACTGAATCGTCATTTGTTACACTTATTTGATATTGAAAATTTAAAATCTATAATCGAACATTGCATTACATACTTACTGATTCTAATATCCTTTATAAATCATTCAAAATTACAGGAAATAGTTTTCGTTCTTTTTAAATTCTCTTATATAATTTATGAAAAAATGTTTATTTTGTTTATCTTTAAGTTTTATAAAAGAGAAGTACAGTACATTTTTTTTTTCAATTTCTAATAAAATATTCCATTATAGAAAAGAGAAGAAACGAGCTACACTTATTAATAGAAATGTATAAAAGTTCTTGTTTTAATATTTAAATACCTATATTATTAGATATTGATAGCCGTATAAATGTTTATAGTAAACAGTGATATAAATAAAATTATATTGTAAATATATTTATATATTTTATGTAACGGTGAGAATACGAGGTATTTAAGACTTACAAAGAAATTTAATTTTTTCTCATTAAAAACATGAAATATTTGATTAGAAAGTGAAAAATTTAATACTAAAAATAGCATTATTCAAAAATAAAATATTTAAATTTTGTATAAAATTTTGTAAGCAAGTCTCTGAATTCTTTCGGTCCAATCTTGATCAAACTTGGAATAAGAATATTTCAAGTTTGGTCAAGAATATTCAGTCCAACTTCGATTAAAGCGCTCTTGTAAATGGAAAAAAGACAATTAGAGGAGAAGGTGGTATTATGGAACACTGCGGGTATTATGGAACCACCTCATTTCGAACTGATAATAAAGGCAAACTGTAGCGGAATGTGGCTGAACTGAACTAGGCAGACATCCATAGCAAGGGGAAAACCCGTTTTACTTCAGTTGAACGGTTGTCCGTATTGAATCAGCAAATTTGTTTTTTTCAAAATTCGCAAGTTTTGAATGCTAAGTGAATTTAATTATTTTTAAAATATAAATCGTGTAATTGTAGGTTCATTGGTGCATGTATTCCGTTCCAGAGACTTAGGGGTACGTATTAATCTGTGTGATGTTCACGTTTTTTAAATTCTGGTCTTGACAGACATAAGTTAATTCAAGATGGCGATGCGTAAAATATGGACCCCATTGGTGCTTTTACAGTAATATGGAACTCAACTCCTCCGAACTTTCTATTTGCAAGCAGACATTCCTCCAGAGCAATTTGTGAAAAAGACACTAGGTAGAAAGCCAATTCTTCCTGAGAATATCGAAAAAGAGCTGCTGGAATATATATTGTTGATGGAGGTCATATTTTTCTATTATAAAAGCATTTTTGCGATAAAATACATTGGAGTAAATAATTTTGTAATTATTTAACATTTTTTGTCCTTTCCTATTTGTTTTTGGCTACATTAAAGCATTTTTTTGAAAATATACAGTAAGGTTCCATATTACCACCCGATTTTCTCTAAGCCTACTTTCGGACTTTTTGTACAAAAGCCTTCAAAAACCATACTTATAATTACACTAGCGAAAAATCCAATTAGGAACATTTAGTTTACTAGTTACCGGTACTTTTCGCACAAAAACTGTGGGTGTAGTTATGATACCTTGTTTACAATTCACTAAAATGTAATTGGGGTTCCATAATACCACCTTCTCCTCTAATACTTATGAACGGGCCATTCCCATAAATATTAAATAGAAAATCTTTTAGTATCTGTAAATTATTAAATGTATGATTTACGTAACAAACAATACTAAATTATGTAATTTTCAAACATTCAAACTGAAACTTGTACGTAGACCTCACTACTACATAATATTCTTATTTGCAGCAATTCAATTTAGCGCCATACTCGATTTAGTGACAATTTTAGAGAGCAAACAGTAGCACTAAATTGAAGTTTGATTCCATATTTCGAACATACAAACAAAACTAACAGAGATATTGCTGACATTAGCTGCTCTTATGACAGGAAATGGCCTCGAATATATATTTTTATATAAATTTATTTAAAAATTTAAACGTTATTTAAATTTCACAAAACAATAAAGTTTTATATAAACGAAAACTTATTTCTCTTATATATTTTATGGGAATTTTGAATAAAGAATTATCTATATAAAATTACTGCTTAGTTTATTGTAAAGCATATAGTCATTTTAACAATTTAAATACGATCAATGTTTATAATGTCATAAAACTAACTCATTCAATCTATAAAACTATCGTTTAAAACTTTACGTAGTCACTACATATTTAAATTTATTGCAAGTAGAAATAAAGGCAATTTTATAACAGTGTCAGAATAAATTTAACATGTTTTCCCTTGCAGTAAAAATATTATTGGTATATTTAATCAAAATTTGGATTTATAATGTATTTAATATGTTAAACTAAATATTTATATTGCAAACGTTAAGCTATATTGAACCTTGAATGATGTATATGACTAAAAATATCCCATAAGTTTTATATTTTATATAAATTGAGGTTCAAAAATCAGCTAACCGTTATAAAGACTAAATTTCTGTTATATTCAAATCCTTTATTGCTTACAACTTCATAAAAAATGCCAAAAATAATACTATTTTTGTTTAGTATATAAGCTACAACACTTTTACACAAATTTACAAACTGTTTGACAGAAATTCTTATCAAAAACAAAGTTAACTGACTTTTGGGTTACCCGCTATTTATTTTAATATTTTTACTGTTTACATATAATAAACAGTATTATTGTATAAAACCAATATATATAAACTAATTTATTATATAAAACCATACGTATAAACTAATTTATGGCAGTGATATTAAAAAAAGTGCCATATAGATATAAGTATAGTGCATTTAATAAGTTTGTAGAGTTACTTTTATAACGATAATGGTAATATCATTATTATAATAGCAGCATTTACATAACTAAATCTTAATTTTGCAAGTACTGTACATTACTTATGCCTTTAATTTTATATAGACCTATAAAAAGATTTATAATAAAAATATTAAAAGTAGGTGAATGATATTATAAAATTCGATATTAAAAGAAAAGGAGTATAGAAAATTTCACTTGTTTTTATTTTCACTTGAAGAATTTATTTTCGTCAATATATTGAAAGTTGTTGGTCGTATTCCAGGTGTTTTTTTATATTATCGAAAAGAATACGGTGAATGGAAAGAAATAGAAGTTCGAAGTGAACAAGACAGTTTCATGTTTGAAAATTTAAATTGTGGTATGAAATACGAATTTTATTTAACTCCATTCAACGACGTGGGAAAAGGAGAAAAGAGTGATATAATATTTGGACGTACCACAGGAAGAGGTTAGTAAAATTGATTAAAATTTAAATATATAATTACATTAAAGTAGTTACATTCCTTTTTAAAATTCAATATTATCTAGAAAGTTCAATTTATAATTTATTATTTAAACAAAAATGGAAATATAAAGAATAAAAGGAATTTTTGTGATTCTAAAATAATTCAATAAATCTAAGTTTTGTTCGCCTTGGGCTTTTCAAATTTGAAGTAACTTTAGAAAAGAATGAAAAACCTTCTGCAAAGCGTTTCCCCAAGGATCTCATTACACAACTAGGGAGAAATTTCAGTATTACTTTCTCTTGTATATAAGCTTTCTTTAAAGGAGCTGATCGTACTGTATACTTTGCTTGCAAAGCACTTAAATAAGCAAGATTTACAACCTCAAAGGTAGTTTTCAATGATTTACCATTTTCACAAAAGCCAATTCACTTTTTTTTTTACCTTTAGATATAACAATCGATAACTTCGATAAAAATTCTCTGGAATGTATGTATATTGCATAATTCGTATTCTGTGATCAGAAACACGTAAAGAAATTTGTATCGACATTTCCTCTTTCTTAATATATATACATACATACTTCAGTAGATGCACTTATATTAGAAATTCTATTTAATTCATATATTAAATGAAAACGGTTTATTTTCTAGAAGTAATAGATTTATCGTAATAGGTTGTTGAAGTTTGTTTCCACTCAATTTAACATTTATAGGAGCATGATTCATTAATGAGCAACCGTTAAAATCAATTTAGACGTTTCATAAATTCATAACAAGTTCAATAAAACATTGCATGCTTGTTGTCAAAATTCAATCTTTAAAATTTCATAATTAACTTAATTATCGAATAATTTTTTATAAATTTAGAAAATATTAAACATAATATTTACAATTGTATTGTAAATATTTCTTATAAATTATAAAACTTAGATTTATAATTAAAATAAGTTTGAAAATTAATTAATTTAAAAATATATATATTTTTCCTTGTGAAAAATTAAATTATTTAAAGGAAAAAAATTTATTAAAAGTGAAAACTAATGTTTTATTATAACAAATAGCTATCATTAATCTATTTTTAAAATAAGTTTTTACATTACTGAAAAAATATCGCATAAGAAAGTTATATTTTATAGTTTAAATCATATTTATAAGCATTATAAAATATATATTATAGCTTAAATGATTTAAAAGAAAAGTTAAAGATACATTTGCCTATAATATTAAATATTAAACCTAGCAGATAATCTATACATTAAAAATGTAATATGAATCCTGCTATCAATACAATCTTTATGAACAAAGTTTAATGAAATTTACACGTGAAATATAGTATTAAGAAAGCTATTTGTATTTAAATTGTTTAGAAACAAGATATTGATGAATACATTTCGAATGCAGATCTAATTATATCTTTATTAACCAATTTGTTATAAAGATATGAAAAGAATAAAATTCGTTAACCGACTCTATCATTAAAGAGCAGAGTTAAAGTATAAATGTTTCCTTGTTCAAACTGCAACGATGATGACATATTCGACGAAATTCAGCTATTGAGTTACCTCATAACAAACCGTAAATCGTGTTATATACCCTGTAATTATGTTTCTAATCAGTAATAAAGAGATAATGGTTGTGGTTTCTGCATCGACGTCGACGTAAAACGTTGATTCAGAAACTAAACCAGAATTAGTTACATACGTAGACTGAACACATTCTCAGAGATAATTTTACTAAAATCCCTCAGGAACTATAAACATTTAAGATAGATAATGCATATTGACTCATTCGGAAGCAGAAACTAATACAAAAGTTAATGAAGTTTATAGTTATTAGATATTTGACTGCGTTGGAAGTTTGACCTTATGTTTCATGGTCGAAATCCGATTTCAATCGTAAAGTTTAAGAGTTATGAAAACTTAGGTGACAATTGATTTATGAAGTGTAACTAAGTCTTTCCAAAGATAATTCTCTTATACCTCGAAGATTATATATAAATATTTTCTTCTACTCCAACAATAATTACTTGGCAAAACTATTGAAGTAGAACTTTATTTAAATAAACGGATTTTAAGATATTTCAATAATTATTTACTATTTTAATTGAATTGAAATAAATATTTTGGTAGATTAATAATTAAAATAAATATTTTTATTGTCATTAACTGACAGCATTTAATCCAGGGGTTCCCAACCTTGTCTTAGCCATCCCTAGAAATCAATCGATTCATCTGGGAATTGATAAATTATTAGGAAAATTTGAAAGTTAGTCAACACGTTTATTTTTATTATATTTAAAAATGTAATAAAAACATGTTTCTATGGCTTTAAATTTTAGTTTTCTTTAATTAAAAGATGCTATTAATTATAATTCGATTTTTTAAATTTCATCCAATTTACAAATTCATCCTTATTTTTGCATCAGTATAAAGAATCAACAAGCAGAAAGAGCTTGGAAGCTCCTGATCTAGTCAATTATTACATGATATATGAGTAATTAAAGTTAAAAATTAATTAATATTTTTAATTGTTGTAAATATTTTATGTATTCTACTTATTTATCTCTTTGTTAAGTAATTAATCTGTTATTAACAATAACAGAATAATTTATTTTCTAATTGTTATTGCTACTAATTAATAAATTATATTATACTATACAGATTAGGTGCCCTTTTCGATTGTGATCTAATAATTCAATTGAATATCGAAACTTAAATGATTACAATTAAATAAATGTAACAACACTAAAACATTATCTAACTACTATAATAAATTAATTAATAATAAACAACAGAATATAAATTTAAATATTAAGTAATTAATTTATAAATAATTTTTGCTCTCGTGAAACGTTTAAAAATCAATACTTGTTTATTTTTTTATTTGCTGTTTTTACTTTCTGTTAACTTCTTTATTTCTTTCTATTTTATTTTTATTACAGCACCAGAAGCACCCGAAAGAGAGAATCTTTTACAATTTAATTCAACTTCGATATCGATAAGGTTGGATAGTTGGAAAAACGGCGGATGTCCTATTAAATTCTTTGAAATCCGTTACAAACAGCAAAAAGAAAAACAATGGTATAAGAAATTCGATAGAGTTAACGCTAACGAAAAAGTATTCTTAATAAAAAGATTAAACTATGGTACATCGTACCAATTGCAAATCACAGCTCACAACGAAGCTGGAGCAACACAAGCAGAATATACATTCTCGACACCGCCACAAACAAAAGGCAAGTTATTTTTAATTAATTTTATGCTAATAAGTATCTTAGAGCAATGTGGTTACTTTAACGGTCATCACTTTTTGGTGAGGGTAAAAGTACCAATTTAATTGAGCTTAAAACTGACAAGTAGATAACGAGACGAAGGAAAATTTATAAAACTTATTTTTAGTTCCTTTAGAAAGTTTCTTCTTCAATAGAGTTTTTATAAGACGTTGGAGATCTTTTTTTTACATTAAAATCACTAATTAAACACTTTGTTAAGCTTCCTTGGGGGGGAAAAAACTAATAATAACTAACGTTGCAATATTTAAAGTGTGTCATAATTTAAATTTTGCATTTTTTATTTTACGTTTTAAACATTAAAGTATTCAAATGTAAACTATTTTAATATTTATTTTCTATATTAAAATAATGGAAAATATTTTAAAATTGTATATTTTATACTCATTTCCATATTTTAAATGGTTGATAATATTACGATCATTGGGCTGCAATTTTTTCAAATTTCAGTCTAATAATCGAACTTCCGACATGATTTTAATTCAAAAATTTCCTCTAGAACGGAGTTATATAGGTAATGGCATGACCTGTTGTTATCAGGAATAGTATGATGTATAGTACAAGGGAAAGACACTACTAATTTGAGATCGAGAGCATATATTTTAATTTACTGTATATAATATAATTAATAAATAAGAGATGTTGTATTTTTAAAATTAATGTTTAATTATAATCGAATAAAATTACGTTAAAATAGAGTAAATTAGAAAAAAAAAATGTTTTTAACGCATAAAAATATATAAAGAATAATTTATCAATTGCCCCTTTTTTTATTTACAGAAAGGAATTATCCGGACAGTGTTCTTTTAAGTAACGAGAGATCTCCATTTTACTTGGAATTAGAAGTTATCTTACCAGTATCATTATCTATAGTCGTTGTTCTTGCAGTATTAGTGCTTGTTTGTATCATTATGAGAAAACGTACACCTTCAGAAAGTACACACAGCGGTCTTTATGGTCAGACTTGTTTTATTTTAAGATTTTGTAATGTTACGAATTTTAGACATTGATGAGATGGAACATATGCATTACAGGAAGTTCCACTTATGAAAACAGAAAAGTTCGAGGTGGACAAGAAGCTATGCTATTGGCAGAATTAGAAAAAGCAACAAATCAGAGATCAGTTGGTAGGAGCGAACCTACGTATTATCCAAGCCCTTATGCAACGACACACTTAGCTGAAAGTGGAGAGAGAAAATTGGTGGATGCAAATTGCAGTGATGTAAGGGAAGACTCGATTATAAATGTTACGTAAGATTTTAAAAAAACCTTTCTTTTCAGTATACAGTTAGCTATTTTTAGAAGAATTCCTACTTAAAAGTTATTTATTCATCTAGATTTTATATCCTTTTTCTAATTAATAATGTGATAAATTAATTAAATAAACTAATCTAATCAATATAAATATTTATTATATTTTATTCTCAGTTTTTACCTCTTATTAATGGCATTATTAAAAATTAGAATCGTATTTTAGATATTTGAGGAACCGCAATACGCGACTGTAAAACGTACTCCAAGACCTCCAAAGTCAGATGTTCATATTTATCATTATCCAGGTAATTATAATTTATACAAAATATTATTTAAATAATTTCTACATCTGTAATTATTTATTTATTTTTCTATATTTAGTTCATAATCCTGTAGATTTAGCAATGTTGGATGATGCAGACGAAACCTCTTCTCATTGGGGTGGGCATTCTAGAAGTAGATCAGAATATCGAGAGCATTCTGGAAGATCGGGTACACCAAACTTTTATTTATTATAAAAAAATGGCGAGTAGTTATGTTAAATTCAGATTAGTTAAGTCTTTTTTTTTGTCATTATTTTTGAGTTAATGTCATTGTTTAACGTGCGATATTTAAATAATATCATTTTTTCTATTTGTTTCAGGAAGACACAGTGCAAGACTCGCCTCGCAGTAATCGATATACAAGAAAATAAAATAATAATAAAATAAAAAAAAAATCAACCGTGCGGAATACAGAGTTATATCATTTCTGTCATTTCAAAGGATCAAATGTCGTGTCTTTCTTAAAGGGACATCCCAAAAGTTTATTGAAAGAGTTGTTTTGTTTTGTTATATAAAACAATCCAAAATAAAATTCAGGGATTTGTAATATGAAGTTTATTATTGTGAAAGTTGAAATAGTTCTGTACATAATTGTAATGTATTACATGATTTATTAATGAAATTGAAATTGTGTACTCTTTCTTTACCTGAACAATACACTTTACAAATCGTTACACTTCAATTAAAAAAATTTTTTTAATATACAAGGTAGTTCAAAAGTTAGTTAACAATTATAAAAGCTAAATTACTGTCTTATTCAAATACTTATTACAGTTAAAACGCCAATAACGGTCACCTCCTAACAACGGCCATTTTTTATATTCCCGCTGGTGGCCGTTGTTTAGAGGTTTGGCTGTACTTACAAATGGATAAGTAGTACAACTTCCATTAGTTTTGTAAACAAAAAAACACGTTGCTTTAAACTCAATTTACGATTTATTTTCGCAAGTTTATCTGGGTTAACTGTTAAAAATACAGTTAACTGACTTTTGGGCTACATTTTGTATAACGTGCAAAATTGTTCGAATTATATTTAATACTTAAATATATGAAAAATGATGCGAAATTTTATAAAACTTTCGCTAATCTGATGCTCAGTTGCTTGTGTACTATTGATATATTTGATACTAAATTCCCGATACAAATGCTATAGTATATATAGATATATTTTTCAGAGTTAATATGATTAAAGTATAATAAAAATAAATATGCTTAAATCACAGATCCATAATAAAAAACTTCTGGATTTTTAATATTAAATAATATTAAAAAAATTACTTGCACTGTTTTCTGTTGATGAGGTTTAACGCAAACTACACTACTTGTGCTGCCATCTGGCAATAGAAAACTTAATTAAAACTGTAATTAATTAAGTTTTTTTCAGAAATAATATGAAGATAAATTTCTTTAAACTATATGAATTATAAAATAAAAATTAAATTAAATGTAATTATTTAATGAATTAATAGAATTTAGGATGTTCTTAAAATGTATTTTATATTTTTATTTCATTAATAATTGAGGAAGGAAATATTTTACTAGGAAATAGAGCTTCGTTAATTATTATATGAAATATAATCATAGGAGGTTTCATATATTTAATGATGTAATTTTGATAATAGAGAAGTCAGTCTATCATCACTGCACTTTGCAACCTGAAACTATTAGTAAATTGTGATATAATTCCTATCCACGATTTATATACGTAAGTTACATGATAAACATAGGGTAATTAATAATTTGTTAGATAATATTACGATAGCAATTTGATATATTATTTTACATCAATTACCAGTGCAAAAATTGAAGTTTCCTGTATTTAAATTAAACAAAACTAAATTAATAGCTTTGAATATTCTCATATAAACTATAAATTTAAATATTTATTTATGTAAAAATTTTCGGTAACGTAACTCCAATTTTCCGTTAATTTCTCTTTACTTAAGTTATAAATTTCGGATTAAAATTCCAATACAGTGAAACCTGTTAATGCGACCAGCTCAAAGGGGTCGTCTTATACAGGTGGTCACATTAGCAGGTTTCACTGTGTTTAAGCAACAGAAATAGCCAATTTAAATTTTTTAATAAATTTAATTATATATCATCATCATACCTATTTTAAAAATTTTAATAGTTAAAAATTACAAAATTTAAAAAAATATATAATTAATATTTGATAGGAATCAAAATATAAAGTAATATGCAAAAATTAACACAATAAATAATTAAATTATGACATTTTAAATTTTTATTTAATATTATTGATACTATTTCTGGTTTCTTTATGTCGTATATATATTTTGAGAATAAATTAAGGAGATAAAAATATTGTTTGTTCACACGAAGAGGACACTAGAAAAGAATTTGATGACGTAAAATGCAGGTCAAATTTAGCTCTTTTGCTGTTGTAGCCACAGGCCAGTGGCGCGTTATAGATTCATGGGACTAGGCGAATTTAAATTAGGGGCCATGTACAGTGTTGACTTCAAACATTTTTGTTCAGGAAATTTTCGAGATAATTCCTCCCAGTATTTTCGTTCCTTTTTTAATGCGACCTCTGTGCTGTGCCAGTGCACCCTGCACCGGCAATCTAGAGTCTCCAAATATGGTCTAAATTTAAACTTTGATATTCTTAGTACAGTAATGAACTTATAAAAGATTGGTTTGAGGCCTCTTGTTAGTGGGGGAGCCCCAAGGCAATTGTCCTGTTTGCCCATATAATAACGCGCCACTGGCACAGGCTAGAATGCCGCCTTTTCAGACATAAATCTGGCACTAACTTGGACTTTATTACGGAATATTATACTAAAATGTACTAACTTTAGTACATAGCTTTTAAATACGAAAATGATACATTTTACTAAACGGTACAGTTAGCTTGCATGATATGTTTTGGATTTAATTAAAAATTACATCATACATATTGAATTATGTTTACATTATAAATGGTTAAGTCAATCTATCTGATGTAATTAAACTATTTAAATTATCATCTTTGTTTACTTATACAGACATAGCAATCAATTATAAGAAACTTATAATAGATGGAATTACTGTATTTGTTCTTTGTGAAATTCTTACATTGTCTACCAATTTTGTTGCCCCTCAAATTCTGCCTCCAGACCCGGGCCTACTGTGTCTATTTAGAAATCCAGTGTTGGTCAAATTAAAGTAACTTATTTTTAAAAATAATGGAGTTCTAGATTCAAACCAACTTAGTTTTATATACTGCTTTACTTATCCATTTTAAATTTGATTTAAAACTAGCAATAACTAAGTACAATAGGGGCATTTAACTTACATCTAATCGAAAGTATTCTATGATGAAACGATCTGCATAAAATTTTTCATGGTTATTTTCTAGAACACCGCGGACTACTGTAAAATCTAGAAACTTCACGCCTCTTCTCGATTTCTTTTCACTTGGCACTTTTAATTATTAGGAATTATATTTTTAATTGTAATTTCTAGAACAAGTTACCAAACTGTAGGTAATAACCAGCGTAGGCACACCTATCATTGGCGTTTTGCCAACTATCTTAGACTCATCTTGGAGGGGAGGTTGGTAGAATGCTGTACAGAAACGCTCATTTGTTGTTAATAGAGAATTTAGTGTAAAATTTAATTTGTCTTTTCGTATTTTTTTGTGTGTTTTTTATTTTACCGTGGAGGGTACATCTAGCAACAAACCCTTTCACGAAGGAACAAAAAAAGACTTAGTATAGCATTCAATTCTGCGAAATGGAATTTCAAAATGGCGATTTAATCACTTCTGTCGTTCATTCCACCAAGCGTGTAAGTCAGATTGCTGGAGTATCATCATTGACAAGAATAGAGAAGATTTGCCAAAACGCAGGCAGTGACGATGAGCAAAATTTTACTTCACACAGATATGCTTTGAAAAGAGGACATTCTGGAAACAACGGTATTAGATGGTGTTGATTGTGATGTGATTAAAAGTCCACAGTTTCTACGTCGAAGACAAGAAAGTCCCATCAATTCCCAAATTATTGCCTGTCTTAAAAGATCAATTTTCCTTGGGAAAAAAGACGGCCATAATATATAATAGCCTTTCACGTAAATATTCTCTTTCGTATCTGAAAAGTCCACATCCTTATTTTACAAATAGAACGGTCTAGTTGGCGCATGTCTACGTACTTCGATGGTCTCGGCTAAGTTGGCCGAACAATGATACTTTGCTTTTGTAATGTCACAACCTCATCCATCCAAAGATTCATTACTGGATCTTCTAAAAACGAATTTAAATTTTCTAAAATTTCAAAGATGCAATATCAAATTTCCCCAAGCAATACTGGATATCTCCGCTAATCATATAGCTTCTATGTGTGATTCAACACAAACATTGGCCATATGGTGCAGCTTCTACTATTTCTACCTATTATATTCATCATTCTTTCCTGACACGGGAAGCTATCAAGTTCGGTATCCAGGGACGCTCTCTGCTTTGACTCAACAATTTCTCGCATGACCCCTAGGTCTGTACCACACGGAGAAAAAATTCTCCTTCCCAAAGGAACTCCAGAAAGAAGTTTCACATGTCAGCGTCATCTCTCTCCTGCTCTTCACTTCGTCATGGCTGACATTTGCAGTGTGAAAGACCACAGTGGTCATTATTTATGTAGGCCTACGCTAGTAATACCCTGACTCTGGCTTGAGACTACTCCCATCAAGATCTTCACCTCAGTACCCAAAATATGGATATAAATCAAGCGCGATAGGCTAACTCCAACTATCTCGACATCCAGCCGAACAGTTCAAAGTTATGCATATCTCTTGTAGCATTCACTCGAATATTTGTTAATGCTAGCTCTTCACTTAGCGCGATCGCGTCGCCGTCAACTGATGCGTGTGTAGGCACATAGAGCGAGGCAATCGCTTCCCTATGTCTACAGACTTTACGCAAAATGGAAGGCGATTTCTAATGAATTATGGGAATTTTTAAAATATATCCTAATCTTCGCATTTGGAATCAAAATGTAAAATCTGTGGTAATTTACCGGTAATAAAAAGTGGTTAAATTTGCAACTCCTAGCCTTTACATGCATACTTGTAACATTATATATAAGAAATAATGCTACATTTATTTAATGTATAGCCTGTATATTCTGTAATATACATCACACACACATGACATACCTCAATTGTTTATAGTTTCAGATTGTACAATGATGTTAATTTGATTAAAATTTATTAAAATAATTATTAAATTTTAACATTATACTATACACTTATATTAACTATATTTTAATAAAAATTGTCTGAGTAGGTTTATATTTCGTATTATGTTTAGTCATATTTTATCTAATCTGAATGAAGTGCAGTGACTATTTATCTACGCCTCTAAATATTGTATTCAAAAGTTATTATATGTATTATATATTATATTGAAAATAGACATTAGATTTAGACAATGAATTTACTAGTCTTATGATAATTATATGTTAAAGTTTTATCGATATATCTAAAATGTAAAAAATTCCAGCAACGAGTTGCCTAACTTTCCCGGCAACATTTAAAACTGCGCCTGGCGCCTTCTGTTATGATATTTTATTTTAAA